AAAACTATCGATGGCACTATCTATAGTATCGATGGTTTTTGGCTATCGAAAACATCGATGGTTTTGTAAGCACTATCGATAGTTTTTCCTCATACATAATTATTCAGTAAGAGTAAAATCTGGCGGTACCTGCCTCATCTTTTGAGTCGGAAGGGAAATTTAGCAAAGCAGGGCAAATAATTTGAGAGCGCAGATCAGTGTTGCCGTTTTAGCCCTTTGGTGGCTAGATTTAGCTTCCAAATACTTTTTTTGGCCACATAAATTTAAAATTGCCCCTAGCCCTTTTTTTAGCCCCTTGGAGAATTTATTCATACTGGGCATGGAAAAGTTGTATATGCTTAATTTGATCTATTTTTTTTGCACATATGTAAGAGATGAATTTTTAAACTAGACTGACATATATGTATTGTATGTTCCTTACGTTTTTATACATACATACTGTATAAGTGTTAGGGCTGTTTTTTAACTTATCTATTAACGATTTAACTATAGTTTAAAATAGATAAGTTTACCCCCCTTACGGCCAGTTTTTCAGTGCCAGTTTAAACTCAGATTAAGTAAACTGGATTTAAATTGAACAGCTGGCTGACACTTGATTGGCTGATCTTAGTTTAAACCAACCAGATCGGGCGTTTAAACTTAGTTTGAACTACGGCCGTGCACTGAAAAACTGGCCCCTAATATGCTTCATTAGTTAAATGGCCCATGAAGTCGATTGACCTTGTATGTTCTTGTGGTGCGATTGTACCAGCTGCTGGTGCGACTTCAAAAACTATTTGAAAATTTTATGATTGTACCAGCGTGCTGGTGTCGTGAGTGGTGAAATTAGCTAAATTTTCTAATTAAAAAATAATTTGGCGCAAATTTCAAAGCCGTGTTTGTGGAATATTAAGTTCACGATATTGCAGTTGTGAATTAAAAAAAAAAAACAATGTTTAACAAAATGGTAGAAAAATTATGAAATTTCGGCTCAAATCATTTCGATCTTTCCTCGACCTAATTTTTAAATAAATAAATATTGTACCAGCATGCTGGTAAGTTATATGCTTCGAGCTTGATGGTACAATCACTTGATCGATCCAGCAAGCTGGTGTCGTATATTTCCCTTTTTATACGAAAAGGTTTTTGCTTGGATAAAATATTAGCTTTTTTCCAGGGTTCATTGTTTTTCTATACCATTACTTATTGAAAATGTTTGCGTGTATACTTATATACGATTATGTAAGTAAACAATTTTAGCTACCATTTTTATCCACAACGACTTTTTTTAGCTCTTTTTTAGCACTTTTTTTAAAGGAATTTGGCTACCATTAAAAATGCTTCGCGGCAACACTGGCGCAGACGCTGCTTGAAGCCAAAAATCATTGATAAACTTTTGTCCCATAACAAAAATATGGACATATTTTAGCAATTCTGATCTGACTATCGATAGTACTATCGATACTGTCGAAATCTTCGATAGTATCGATACTATCGATGGTTGGGACCAGAGACCAGTTGCGGTGTATCGCATTTTCGAATACACCGCAGCGACATTTATTTACTGTACCACTCAAACTCAATAATACTTAGTAATGAACGCCACCGCAATCACCGCAAGCTCAAATAATGACGTGTTTGAGTGTTTTGTGCTCGATCAAAGCGTCGTTACTGCATATTATGGCACCGCATTTTCATGTCGGCTTCGGCTATGCGGTGGTATGAGCGGTCGTTTAAACAACGCAAACATCGCATTACTTGCGGATATGCTTGTTTGAATGCGGTGCACCGCATTATACGAGTGTAAGTGAAATAAAAATGAATTGAATTAAAAGAAAATACATATTACATTTTTTGTGTATTTAAATTTGACTAATTGTTCATATTTATTAATTTTTTTGTAACATGCATACATACAAACTCTGTAGGCAACTGTAGCGATAAAATGCTCTTATAATCAGTGTTGCCGTTTTAGCCCTTTGGTGGCTAGATTTAGCTACCACATACTTTTTTTGGCCACATAAATTTAAAATTGCCCCTAGCCCTTTTTTTAACCCTTTGGAGAATTTATTCATACGTGGTATGAAAAAGTTCTATATTTGCTTAATTTAAACTAAGAAAGACTGATATAACATATATGTAAAATTATGTTCCTTACGTTTTTATACATATGTACGTACTGTAAAAGTGTTAGGGCTATTAACTTATCTATTAACGATTTAACTATAGTTTGAAATAGATAAGTTTACGGCCCTATGCTTAATTTTTTAAATGGTCCATCAAGTCGATTGATCGTGTATGTTCTTGTGGTGTGATTGTACCAGCTGCTGGTGCGACTACAAAAACTATTTGAAAATTGTATGATTGTACCAGCATGTTGGTGTCGTCAGTGGTGAAATCAGCTCAATTTTCTAAGTAAAAAGTATTTTGGCGGAAATTTCGTGCACTATATGAGTCAAAGCCGTGTTTGTGGAAGATTAAGTTCACGATATTGCAGTTGTGAATTAACAAAAAAAAACAATGTTTAACAAAATGGTAAAAAAATTATGAAATTTCGGCTCTAATCATTTGGATCCTTCCTCGACCTCATTGGTAAAGAAATAAATATTGTACCAGTATGCTGGCATGTTATATGCTTCGAGCCTGATGGTAGAATTACTTGATGGAGCCAGCAAGCTGGTATCGTATATTTCCCCTTTTATACAAAAAGGTTTTTGGTTGGATAAAATATTCGCTTTTTTTCAGAGTTCATTGTTTTTCTGTACCATTTCCTATTGAAAATGTTTGCGCATATACTTATATATGAACATGTAAGTAAAAAAATTTAGCTACCATTTTTAGCCACAACGACTTTTTTTAGCTCTTTTTTAGCCCTTTTTTTTAAGGAATCTGGCTACCACTAAAAATGATTCGCGGCAACACTGCTTATAATGCGGTGCACCGTATTCAGCCAAGCATATCCGGAAATAATGCGATGTTTAAACGACCGCTCATACCACCGCATAGCCGAAGTCGACATGAAAATGCGGTGCCACAATATGCAGTAACGACGCTTTGGTCATACAAGTCATCGCAAACACGAACGCGACAAAAAATGCGATGCACACAAATATCGCATTGCTTGCGGTGGCGGTTATACTTACACCGCATTGTTTTCGAGTATACTTGATGTCTCGAGAAAGGCACCGCATGCTGATCACTGGTTAGGACTACTATCATTTCTAAGTAAAACTATTATTCAGCGGCAATGCTCATAGCGCTCCAATCAGCAATATTAATTTGTATCAAATATAGCATTAAGTGGTGGTTCATAAAAAATGTATTAGAATCAGAATGAATAGATTATATTGCATTTTTTTCAGAAATTGATGCACGATATGAATTTGTTTTTCAAATATTTCTCAAGTTGCTTTCATTAGTGCTGAAAAGCAACCATACGTGTAAGAAATTGTGTGCTACCTAAAATTTCACCTCTGGAAACTTTATACCCATACCCATCACCACAGTTTTTTTTCTGGATATACTGAGGTTTGTCTATTAATGAGGGCATTTCCACTAATCGTTTATTTTCAATAGATAACAAAGTAAGATAAGCAACAATTGACAGAAGACCTGAAAAATTTTATTTTTGCCACCTTAAAGTCTATCTTTATAAAGGACTCTCTAGAATGCTAATTTTCTTGGAAAAATCTGTTAAAGATTTTAATTTTATTTAACTAATTAGGGCCAAATTCACAGTGCGTAGTTAACCACTGGCAAAAGTTCAACTATTGATTTTGATAGACACAACGCTCAGTTAACAAACGTTTAAACCAGCATGCCTCCATAGTTAAACTCTTGTGAAATAGAATTTTTTTTTGTGGAACGAATTTCAAATTTGAATAGAAAAGTATTGATATTTAGAATTTGTATATTTTCAGGCGATATGAATTTTCATAGTTTGACTCTGAATATAAATTCAAAGTTAAACTCTTGTTGGTGGTTAAGTTAACAATCGTTTAACTAAGCACTGTGAATCCGGCCCTTAAAGGTATGTAATTATTCTAAAGGTAGAACTCTCAAATAAAAAATTATTTTCTTTATACATGTAGATTCTTTCATTGAGAAAAATGCACTATTCTAAAATTGATGAAACAATAAAAAAATGTTTAATGACGCTAGGGACAGAAAAGCTAAACAATCAAAATGAGCGAACACAAAGGGAATGAATTTTTATATACTTAATTTTATTATATGTAAATGCATATGATAGCAAATAAAAATTTACCTGTATGAATTTAGAAAAAAACTAAATTGTATACTGACACTATACGTAAATATGTATACATATTCGAAAAGATTTCGCTCAGAAAATTTCTAAACGATTTCGCAAAGATTAAAGCGAAAATATTTCGTACCGATAAATTCGGTTCGATATAGTCAAAACCATACCTTACGAAATCGTTAAGGTATTTCTTTTCGAAGTCGTGTCAACCCTCTCATAAGAAATTCTTAACGATTTCGTAAAGAACCTGTGGAATTCACTGCGAATATGCAGTCGCACGTAAACATATATGTATGTATATAAAGATTTATACCCCTCTATTCTAACAGAGTCTTAAAACTTAGCTCATCACTGTTGTGATTTCTAGTGCGCCGAGAAATGTGTCACAAAAACTTCGATTTTGAGTGCTAGAAAAATACACAAAAATTTAAAAATTTGTTTTGTAGCGGCATATTTTTTGCAGCGGCAAGCTTTGAGGCGCAGTAGAAATCACAGCAGTAATGAGCTAAAGTTTGTGACTTTGTTAGAATACGGCTGATAAAGATAGAGACGATGACAGTTGCGGAGCGATAATGTTGAGTTGGCATATTAGATGAGTGGGCTAGTAGCTACGTACATATATATGTAATAAATGCGTGTCTGCTTAGGTAAAGGTTAGTTTATATGTACAAGTTTAAGGAGGTCTTCAAAATGCAAAGATGTAGTTGAATGGTTATTTTAAGCAATGATCGCAAGCTAATCGCACACATTTTCTCACCTTTTCCGAATATTCGACGACGTCGCGCATTGAGCGTGGAAATCCCGAAATTAGGTACGCTTTGGCAGCTGGAGCCATTTTCATTTCCAGCATGAGCACCTCTGTGACGGTTTTTGAGGATAGTTGCGAAAAGTCCTGCATATCTTTGGTGGAGAACAAATCGTTTGACGGTTAAGTAAAAATAAAACATTTACGCACGTACTGCTTACTTACCGTTTCCCATTGCATACTGTTGCAACAAATCCATCATATTTATGTGTGTCACACCGCGGCGCTCCTGCATAAATGTGTCACAGTGCGTCACTTTGCCACTACCTGGGCCGCCTAAAACAAATATCACTGGCACTTTGGGTGGATCGAATTTTATTTTTCCAGCATTTTGCATGTCTATGGCGACCATGTTTCCCGTACCGACCCGTCCATTGGCACTGTTTTGGTTTCGTATATGATTCCAATCGCTGCCGGGTTCGCCGGTATCCTGTGCCGCGCTGGCATCTAAAACGAAACATACAAAATTGCATAAATGCAAGTGGAAAAAGTTATATTTAAAAAATCTTTAATCTAAACAATAGAATAATACAACTTTGGAAAAAATTCACTTAGTTTTATTAAACTTTTTTTTTAGTTTTATTACTGTTGAACGCTGAGCACATCTTGTGTATATATAAGTTATCTTTTCTAATTTTATGTAAATAAAGTACCATTTATGAAACTTTAAAAAGTGGATTTTCTTTATTGCATACTATGTATGCATATATGTATGGGGAAATCTTTTGAGATGCGGATTTTTCAATAAAAAATATACATATGTATGTATACTAGCACACCCGGCGAACTTCATCCCGCCCAAAATTAGATTTTTAGTTTAAACGTTTTGGTCCAACATTTTCTCCAACAGTCCACGTTTACGATTTCTATTGGCACATTCATCGGCTAAGATTATTGTTTGGTGGTCGTTTGCCGCCTTAAATAACCTAACGAAAGTATTATGTCCATTAAGAAGTTTTCTGGCGGCAACAATGATACGGATCTATAGTGAATCTGCCCTAAAAACTTTATCTTATAGTCGGTGGCAATTTCAAAATGGGTGCGTATCATTGTTCAACAGGAATCCTATATATATATGTAGATACACAAACTTATTTCAGATGGAATACCTTAAAAGCCAGTTTAATGAAAACAATTTAAGTGAAAAATAATTTTTTTCTGTCAGGTTCCATATTAAATTCAAGTAAAAAAATAAATTTTCATTAAATTGCTTTCATGAAACTGGCTTTTAAGTTATTTCGACATGTGGTGATTTAGGATTTAACACTGCACAACTCCACCCTCCGAACGAAGCTTTAATGCATAGTAATGTTGGCTAATCTCATCCATTGGGCCAATTGTAAAACACGAGAGTTCGATATACTCAATGGTGCAACAGGTCGATTTAATCTGACCTTCACGGCACCTTTTCTCACTTGGCTATTTTTTAGTAATAACTCGACCTCAGCACCACCTGGCAGCTCTTTTTTTGCAATTGGACTGCCTTTTCCGTTTCCAACACATGTTTTGAATATTTGCCAAATCGGATCATAAAAAAAATTTTTAGTAATAACTCAACTCCAGCGCCAAATGGCGGGTTAAATTGTGAAACTAAACTATGCAAACAAACACACAAAACTTTGTTAAAATCCCTCCAGCCGTTTAGGATTTCACTCACAAACATGCCTCCAGAAGAATTATATACACACTAGATCGCCCTCACCCGCTTCGCTGAGTGTATGAAATTTCTACGTGATACCTTGAGTAGAATTTATTTCAAGTAAACTCAATTAAAAAACAGGAGGTTTAAAATTTGTTTAACCATCTTCACAATATTTTCAAACTAAAGCTTTCCTAAACTTCTCACTTGTCATATTCTTTCAAGTAACTTATCCCCTGAACTCAATTTGAGATTTTAAACAGGTGGAAACCTCTTAAATGTAGTTTTGAAATTAAGCCCTTTCAAGACCATTTCAATTGGCACCCATATTTTAATAATTCATTTAAATTATTGAATAGTTTGAATTTAAATTTTTAAACAGGTGGCAACCTTTTTAAACCTCTTTCCTCTGACACTCATATTGTGATTAACATTCAAAACCATTTAGATTCATACCAATCTTCTACAACAATATATATTTTGAAAGCCGTTCTTTATGTGTTCGCAAAGCTCGAGAACGGCCAAACCGATTTTTTTGAAATTTCGGACACCTGCTTCAGACGTCCCAAGAATGCTAGGCTAAACATTTTTAATATATTAAGGGGCGTGGCACTTCCCATACAAACCGATTTTTTCATACTGCATATCTCTGGAAGTGTTCATGGTGGAATACTGGAACTTGGTACGGCAATATATGAAATCAATCTTATAATCATGGAGAAAAATGGGCTATTTGAAAAGGGGACATGGCGCCGCAAAAAAGTTTATATATAATTCTTCTGTCTGTGTGTTGGTGAGTGAAATCCTTCTAAATGCTCGGACCGATTTTAACGAAGTTTATTGTGTACTTTTGAGTGGCTCTCTGGAGAGTGTAGTTTCAAAATTTCATCCGCCAGTTGGCGCTGGAGTGATGTTATTACTAAAAATCTCATTTATGATCCACTTTGGCTAATATTCAAAATGTTTATTGGTAACGGTAAAGGCAATACTATTGCCAAAAAGGGCTGCCAGATGGCGCTGGAGTCATTACGAATAATCGCCAAGTTAGAAAAGGTGCCTTGAATGTCAGATTAAAACGACCTGTTGCGCCATTGAGTATATCGAACTCTTATGTGTTACGATTGGCCCAATGGACGTGATTTGCCAGTGAAAGACTTAAAAATTATTCAAAACTTTCAAACTAAAGGTTTTTTTAACAATATTTCGTTAGACAACCATATTTTAATTCTTCAGATAGGTTGCGTACAAGCAATTTAAATTTGACTTTTCAAACAGGTGGCAACCCTTTTCAAAATATATTTAGCCCTCATCCATGAGTGGATAATGATTTTATATATCTCCGTACCAAGTTCCAGTAATCTACCAAAAATATTTCCTGAGAAATGCGGTATGAAAAATTCCGTTTGTATGGGAGGTGCCACGCCCCCTTGTCTAATCGAGATTAAATTTATCCTATATTTTAAGTTGGGCTAAATGACAGCAGTATACAAAATTTCATGATGATCGGTTGAGTTGTTAAGGCGTGAAAGCGAAGCAAACAAACAAACTCACTTTCGGATTTATAATATTATATATAATATATATATATATATAGTAAGAATTCAAAAATAAGTAAAAGTCAGTATGTTTGTACTTCGCCATGCCTTTTTTTCAAAAAGTCCATTTTTCTCCATGAGTATGGGATTGATTTCATATATCTCCATATGCAGTTCCAGTACTGTACACTTCCAGAGATATGCAGTATGAAATCCGGCTTTTCGAACAGCTCCATATTTATACCTTTCATGAGCATGAAATGGTATTATAACTTTGGTCCGATGTTTGTAAGTACCAGAACAAAAAGAGATAGACCCATGAAAATGTATACTTATATGATCAGAACGTCGAGCTGAGTTGATTTAGCCATGTCCGTCTGTCCGTCTGTCCGTCTGTC